ACAGTATGAGCTTCTCTCACCCCGTTTACGTCCCTATTTTCTGTACCTTAATGGAAATTGTTACACAATGGAGATGAAATAACAATTTTTAGATTTGCTAAGGTGGAATGCCTTAGAACTGGTGTTAATGATTACAATGTGTTTACACCCACACTCAATAGCTTATCTTGTGCTGTAGGTGGAGGTATCACTGTGCACCTTTCGCATATGCCTACAGAGATGCCCCACAAGCATCAGAGGCAGTCAAAATGTTGTGTTCAGTTGACAGTCACAAGTCTGGCATCATCACTGCCAAATGTAGTTTTCATATTAGATAGCTAAATCTGATTTCTTAATCTTAATAAAATAACTCACCTCTAGTGTGCAGCATCATTTGGAATCTTCATATAGTTTTATTAGCTCGTCCTTCTCAAGTGGAAATCAACCTTAGGAACTGATGAACAGATTCCAGCTTGTGGGGTAAAAATAGCCCTTACTTTGGCCTGATGTGTTTCCTCTTGCTAAGGAAGAGACTCTGGAGCCAGCCAGCCTTGCATAGATTAAAGGAGAACATTGTTCATATTCTGTGCCTATTAAATCATCATATTTGCAATGGATGTTGAGAAAAAAGGCTTGAAAGTAACATGCTATAAGTTATGAACATTTTTTTTTACTTCTTGCCCCAATCTAGCAGTTATTATTTTAAAAAAATAGGTTGTTGTGTAGTTTCCCCCATAAAAATTTTACTTTCTGTATCTAACTATTTTTAAATAAATGGACATATATATTACAGAGGCAGATGAGGTGATTAAAAAGCTAAAAGAGAAGGTATTATAGATAAAGAGAGACTTTTGTGGCTTGACTGGCATAGATGAGATCGATCTTTCCACTACCACTCTGTTTTCAAGAATTCTAAAACCAAAGTGAGTGATATCAACTGTGCCTCTCAGAGAAAGCAACATTCCCCCACCCCAATATGAACTCATAGTTCAGAGAACTACATTTGTTGCTAAAAGAGGTGAGAATTCTTTACCTAGAGAGAATGAGTAATTAGTATTTTAAGTTGGAAAAAGGAAACAACTGCAAGTAAGGAATGTGTAAAATCTGATGTGTTTATATCTAGTCAACAGTGGGTTAAGGGCACAAGCTCAGTGTCTTCATTCTGAGTGTGCAGACCCCATGCAGTCATTCCTCAGAACACTTGAACTGAATCCCTTCTTTAAGACTCAGGACCTTCTCCAAGTCACTCTATGCTCAGGTTCCAACTCTACCAGTAATGACTCACACAGGATCCAGGACACTGATTACACCTTGAAACTCAAAAGAGGAACTTCTGGAAGGTTTGGGACTGGGTGAATAATTTGGGGTGTAGTTCTGTAGCCAACCCTTTAAAAGTTCTGAGAAAACTTCACAATCAACAAATAAAAACATCTAAATGCCAAGCCCATCAGTGAAGAAGGTTAGTGCTATTTTCATTGTCAGCTAAAGCCAAAAAAAAAAAAAAAATGATAAGCAGATGGGGCAATTGAAAGGTTACATCTTTCTTTTGGAGGTGGTTTGCTTCTTAAAGGTTAACTTGAATGCTTGACTTTAAAAAATCAAAATCATCAGCTGCAAATGCTTAAAGCAGTTGGGGGTAGCTTTTGAAGAAGAAAACAAAGGATCTGAAATGTTTGAAAATTACTTAGCCCCCATATAAATGGTGCTTGTATATTTATATGCTTGCTCTATAAATGTACACACACATACCACAACTCATTTCTCTTCATTTCTCAAATATGATTGCTTGTACTCAGGCATTTTCTGTTGACACAAAATAACATTTTAATAACTTGTTAGCTGTTCTAATCATTTGATAGTATCCAGAATACAATGCAGTCACAATATGAACAAGTACGGCCTTCTGCCTAAATCAAAATCCACAGCTACACACAGAAACCAGCCATTTGCAGCATCTTCAGCTCCTGCTAAATAGAGTCTAACAATATATTTCGCTGTTCACATTCATGTATTTCAAAACCTAATAGTCCATGAAGAAAAGTATGAAGAATACATCTCAAGAAGCAGACATTAAAGGTACCAGAAAAATAATAGACTACATTTAAGTTTGAAGCATTATTTTAGGCGACTTACATCATTAATGACTCTTTCTTTGTGGTGGGTGTTGGAGCACAGACTGCAGAAGTGGAGATTGCTATATATGTTGGCTTCTATTATAAAAGTGCCTTTACGGGGAGAATATTCATAAATACACATAAACATACACAGAAGACTCCTCAGATGATTACTTAAAAAATATTTGACCTTCAAAGTCTAAATAAATATTTGAAATATGAAGTTGTTTTGAAATAAACATTTACCTCTAAAATGTATCTTCAAAATATTCTACATAAATCATCATAGTGTTATATTTCATTATCACACTCCAAAGAGGCATGAGTTACATAACAAATAATGAGACATTCATAATCTTAAATTTGAAGTAAACAGCATTTAGGGATGGTCAAAACAAAGGTAAACTCATCATTTACTATCTTATTGAATGCGGAAGCAAAACTCCAAAAGTACTGATATTATTATGATTATCACTACCATACTTATATTAGGTTCCCAGACAACTTTAATGAAAAAGGGAAAGATTATTAATTGAGCTGTTATCTTTCCTAGAGAGATGAGCTATCTTTATTCCTTTCTATTTTTAACTATTGGGCTCAATGTCTGGAGTCACTTCAAATACTCCACTGTTAATCAATTTCATCTCTCCAAAGCTGTACGGGGCCAGGTTTTGGTCTCACAAATTTTTAGAGCTAGAAGCAATTCCTGCTTAGGTGTTCTACTTTCTTAAATATCTCCAAATTTTGCAAGGTGGCGCTCTTTTCATGAAAGGCCAATATTCCTGCAATAATCAGAATAACTATTTTTAAAAAGTTTAAAACAACACAGTCCCCAGTTTTCTATGTGCTACTGGAAGGGCAGCAAACCCTTTCATCAGTAAATAAGACTTTGTTGCCTAAAAATGACAAATACAAATAGCAAGAGATGCAAGGAACAAGTCAAAACATTCTTAAAGACAATACTACATTTTAATTTTGGAATTGGTCAATGGTATGGTTTGAAAAATTAATACTGATTGAAAACAGATATAAGGATCTTACTGGACATTCATACTTTGGCCTATGACTTCCTGGACACAGTTTATTAAAGAATCAGATCCACCTTCCTTCTTGCCCACAGCTAGGTCAGTTTCTCCCGCCCGATCTAACACATCCACACCCTCGCAGCTATAGCCAAGGGCCTGATATGTGATCTCGGGCTACGTCGTCTGCCTAATGGGGCGATCATGCAAGCTACAAGCAGAGACAAAGAAGCCTGCGTTCTTACCAGTGAAGCTAACTTCATGGAAGCAGCATAGCTTGCAAATCTATCAAACTAAACTGCAAGAAAGACAATCTGATTTAGAGAAAAGGCGTTCTGCTACAGTCATTAAGCACAAGTAATTTAGATTTTTTATATTGTCTCCTCATTTACAAATTTACTGTATCAACGCCAGCCAATGGAACGAATTTCTTAAGTAAATGAGAAATAAATAAAAGAGATAGAAAGATAATCAAATTACATAAAATAATTCTCTGCCTTAGATGTATTTTTTGAGAGAACTAATAACAGTGGCAAAATTATAGGAATGATAACATATCATAGGAAGTAATTAATTTAAATTAGCATCACGTTTGAAAAAATGTAAGTGAAACGTTTTATGGACATTTACTTTTGTACAAAGAAGGAAGGCCTGGAAAAGCATGCATCGACATTCTGAAAATTAGTTATGACCATAAATGGTTTAATTGAAGACAGCAATTTAAAATATGATATTGTAAATCTGCAACTCGGTTTCAGAACGGGGGATTTAATTTGGAGGACAGCGGAACCCTCGGCTGCAAGTTCATTTGCCAGGCTGTAGAGCGAGCCCCTGAGCTTCTCACCATTCGCCTACATTAATATTGATGTCGCCTGTGCAATCTATTTCTGTTATTTTTATGGTTGTTATTCTACGTCTGCAAAGGTCATTTAAATTATACTGCGGCCGAAAATTTGTTTCATAAATTTTGATATAAATACTAATTACACACTCTCGGAGAGCCAGCAGGGTAGCGTTCATTTATCACGTTTATACGACCTGCAATGACAGAAAGGGAAGGCAAGGGACTAGAGAGCTTATCCAGAAACCCACCAAGACTGGCAGAAGAGGCAGCAGGTTGCTGGGGGTGTTGGGGGTGGGGCGGGGAATATGAAGAATAAATTCCTACCACATCACTGAGATTTAAGAATCTTTAATAAGGTACGAAAGGTTACCAAACAGTTCTGGAAACTAAAGTGTACATACGAGTTTCTCTAGCCATAAATATTGAATAGCTGTAACATGGATAAACCGGCCCTTTACATGCGGATAAATATGGAAACTAGGAATTATATACATTATGTGGTTGTATCTTTTGCCAAAAGCAATGGACATTTATAGTTTATATCTTCTTTTAATATCACTTTACATAAACAAATGGAACAGTTTGACACGCAGATCCAGGCTCGTACTATACGAATTCTTGACAGGACGTGAAACAACATTTTACTGCACTAAAGTACTTAAGACTTTGGGACGAAATGTTTGCACTTTATACAAAAAAAGCACATTAATACCAATAATAGTCTGTTAGGTCGACGTGGAGACTGTAATCGTACAAAGTAATTCACATTTTGGTACACATTTACTAGAACATTCTTGCCATTCAGTACAAACAGTTGGCTTTCGGCCGCCCACCCCCTCCCCCTCCCCTTCCCCCGGCCCCTCCCCCCTCCCCCAATGCAAAGAACACAACGCCACAATCCCACCCACCCGCTCCAACCAAGATGTAACTATTTACAGAATCCAACAGAACAGTTTTCAGCTAATAATTCTGTATTTACAAGAAAGCAAAGCAAAAAAAAAAAAAAAAAAAAAAAGCCCAAGCCCCAGAGAGCCTGTTTCGATCCAACAAGAAATTGGCCCTTGGGGTTGGCAGCATTTGGTCAGGCGGTCGCCTTCTCCTCGACCCCCCTCCCGCACCTCGGCTAGCAAGCCTTTGCCAAATAAATTTTTTTTAAAAAAAGAAAGAAAGAAAATGTAGTGAAGGAAATTTTAAGAAGGTTTGATACTTCCTCTCTCTGACTCAGTCCTGGGCCTATTGGCAGATTAAAAAAAAAAAAAAATAGGATACTGGGGTCTGGGAGGGGTTGTTTCGGATTCGCAGGGTTCGTTCAATAATATTGTGTATACCTGTGTGTTCAGTCTCTTAAATAGGGTTTTGTTCGGTGTTTTGTTTCTGATTTTAAACGTACCATTCGTTAAAATTGGAAGAGAGCGCGCTGTGGCCGGCTGTGTGGTGGACCGCGGAGGAGGAGGGCGACAGGGAGCTGGTGGTCGGGTTCTCTGTGGAGGGAGACACGATGGTGGGCGGCGTGGAGGACTCGTAGCCCGAGCTGGCGGCGGGCGAAGGCTGGGAGCCCTGCGAGGAGGATTCGTGGACCTGCGGGAATAAAGTTGCGTTTTTACGGAGATTAGGAGCCAGCTCGGCGGCCAGCCAAGGCCGGTGAAGGCAGCACTCTCCTCCAGGAGCCCTGGATCCCCCTGAACTCCGGAGAAGTGGGATCGGTGGCACTTGGGCTTTGGTGCCCCCACCACGGCCCGGAGGCCGAGCTCCCCGTGTACTCACAAAAGAAAAAAGAAAAAAAAAAAAAAAGGCCTGGGAAGGAGGACACTTCATTTGAGGCCAGAGTCTAGGACGGTTCGCTCCCCAAGACTTTGCCCTCCCAGTTTTAGTTGAGCAAAAGCTCCAGCCAGGGCACCAGGCCCCAACTCTTCCGCTCAGTGCTGCCAACCGCAATGGCGGCAGCTTCTGCAGCGTAAACCCGCTGCTCAGCCCTAGCTCCCGAGCTCTGGGCCAAATTCACGCGGCGACGCCGCGAGTGCTCACTTCTTTTAACTTTTTTTTTTTTTTTTAATGAAATAATGAGTTTAAAACGGCCTTGGGTGCTCCTGTCCTTTTTTCCAGTCCCCATCCAATCTGCCCGGCCCCACTCAACAGAGTGGAACCGTCGCCTTCCCGCTAGCTCTGGCTCCTGCAGCCGCCCAGCTGCCACTCGCAGCCTGACCCCAGCCCGAGAGCACAGAGCGCTCCAGCTCTGAAGGCCAAAGGCGAGAGCTCGGTGATTACCTTCATGTGTTTGCGCAGCGAGCTGGGGTGCGTGTAGGACTTGTCGCACATCTTGCAAAGATAGGGTTTATCACTCGTATGCACGTGCATGTGCTTCTTGCGGTCGCTGCTGTTAGCAAAGCGCCGGTCGCAGCCCTCGAATTCGCACTTGAAGGGCTTCTCCCCTGATGAGAAAGGCGAGAAAGAGAGGGTTCTTATTAGAATATATCCCGCCATCCTTTTCTAAAATTTCAATAGAAATAATTTAAAAAGTCAGAGGCCCAGGATTAGCACTTTGAAAGCTTAAAAATCCAGGACTTCATATACCTGCAGTGGAGTTATAAATATCTTAACTATTTATTAGTTCCCAGTACAATTAGACAATTAGACCTAATTTTATTTTTAGATTGTATTTATAGTAACAGTAGTCGTTGTTTTTTTTACATCCCAGTGTGGAAGCATGTCTGGATGCTGGCTTTTTTTTTTTTTTTTTTTTTTTGCTTGGGGCTATACACACTATGGGTTGCTTCTACCTAAGCTCTTGGTTTCTGGTTTTTACTTTCCGGGCTAATTCTCCCGCTATTTTGCTCTTCTCTCCTCCCCCTATCTCCTCCCCAACTCCCTACACCCCCTCTTCGCCTCCCCCACCCCACCCCCTACATACACTCACATTTTATAACATAATCTGGGAAGTGGGGAGCTGGGCGCGCCAAGTTCTTCCCTGACTTGGGTGTTAAATCCAAAGTTCCAAGCGCGGTTCTCAGACATCACCGAGCACACCAAAATAGAAAAGGAGAGCGGATTCCCCACCTCATGGGTGGAAGAGGCCCAGAATGTCCTGCCTGTCCCAGTCTGTAGTTTTGAGTTGCCATGAAGTTCTGTTTTGTTTTGTTCTTTTCTTAAACTGTTTTCGACTTGTCTTTATTTTTAAAGGCCAACGCGGGGATCCGGTATTTAAAAAAACAAAAACAAAAACAAAAACACAGTCCCCATGGAATCTAAACGACAGAAAGGTCTTCCTCAGTCTTCCACGGACTCTCCTCGCCCCTCAAGCCCATCAGTACTAAATTTGGTGTCCTCTCCTTAGGCATGAACCTAAAAAGCCTCCTAAAATCCTAAATTACTTCCTCCCGCCCACCCGCATCCCTTTCTCTTTCTGTTTTGTTTCTTTATACATCCCTGAACCCTATCACTTCAACTTTCTCAGCCCTTTCCTTTAGCAAAGTCCTCCATTAATTAAGTCTTGGAGAGGGATGTTGGCCACAAGCGAGCATGCAGATTTGCCTACAGCTGGATCCGCAGGCGCCTCTGCTGCAGCTCGGAGCCGGCCACCTCTTCCGGCTTCCAGCGCGTCAAGGGCTCTGCCAAGCAAGGCTTGGCTTCCTGTTCTCCCGGCCCTTTTTATTCCTCGTTTTAAAAATCTATATCCTCACATCCTTTTCATCCGCCTTCTCTCCGATTCCTCCCCCACCCCTAATTTCCAGCCCCTAACTAAAAATCAGAGCACACCTTGGCTGCCTGCCTGCCAGAACCTGATGCCGGGACTGCACCGCAGCTGGATTTGTGTGCTTCCCAGACGCTGGCTTTCGGATTTCGGGTACCAGGCCCGGGACTAGGGAAAGGGTGTCTTACATCAGTTTCCGTACCTGTGTGCGTCCTTTTGTGGATCTTTAGGTTTTCTGAGCGCGCGAAGACCTTGCCGCAGCCAGGGAAAGGGCAGGGGAAGGGTTTTTCGCCCGTATGCACGCGGATGTGGTTGACCAGTTTGTATTTGGCTTTGAAGGGCTTGCCCTCGCGTGGACACTCCTCCCAGAAGCAGATGTGGTTACTCTGCTCTGGGCCGCCGACGTGTTCCACAGTGACGTGCGTGACCAGCTCATGCATGGTGCTGAAAGTTTTGTTGCACGACTTTTTGGGGTTGGCCAGCTGCTCTGGCTCGATCCACTTACAGATGAGCTCTTGCTTGATGGGTTGGCGCATATAGCGGAAGAAGGCGCCGGCGCCGTGATGCGCGGCCATGTTCACGTTCATGGGCCCGTACCCGTGCAGCTGCGGGGCGGCATAGTGCTCGGATCGCGGGCTGGTCACCTGGCCATACTGTTCGGGCCGCGGGTACATGTCCCCAGAGAAGCCGAGCCTCATTTGCCCGTTGACCACGTTGGGGGAAGCGTGGCCCGCCGCCTGCTCGTGAAGCCCGGGAAAAAGGAGGTGGCCCGCGGCGTCCGTATGGCCGTGTGGGCCCCCGAAGCCGCCGGCTGAAGCAGCGAAGAGGCTATGCTGCGCGCTGGCTGCCGCCGCCGCGTCTCCAAAACCCCGGTTGCGAAACAGAAAGTCCCGCGTAGAATTGAAAGCTGCGCTGGAATAGGAGCCGACGTGGCCCGGGTGGTGGTGATGACCCAGGGCCGCAGCAGCCGCATAGCCGGGTGCCTGAGACGTGAAGGCCGTCTGGCCGGCCGAAGCCAGCTCGTGCGAACTGGGGTTGAGCTTGAAGGCGCCCATGCCGTCGGCGAACGGGTTGATGCCCAGGCCCACGTCTCGCTCGGCCACGTCTCCCGCCGAATGGTGGCGGGATGCGCCAAAGGTGGTCACACCGATCGCAGGATACTGGGGGCCGGCGTCCAGGAGCATCGTGGCTGCTCGGGGCAAGCCCCGGCCTCCCCCGCCCCCCCCACCCTCGCCCGCCAAGGAGGGAAAATCGGGAGGAGGAGGAGGAGGAACGGGAGGCGGAGGAAGAGGAGGAAGAAGAGGAGGAGGGAGGGGGAGTCGACCCACCTAGCGAAGTCTTAGCCTGCAGGCAGTGGCGCGGCGCGTCCGGGCACCCGCCCGGACAAGCGTGGGGAAGCCGGACGGCCGCAGGCAGCGAGTAAAGCGGGCTCCAGTGTCCGCCGCGCAAACCCCGCCGGCCCGGCTCTCACTTTCTCGCCGCTCAGTCTCTGCCGAAAGGGCCTTGAATCAAGGCTGCCCGAGGAAAGACATGGAACATCTCAGCCCCCCAAAAAAACTTCCTCCAGGATTTGTGGCATAGAGGAATGTGAGCGCCGGAGCTACGACTGCTCGCCCTCTCTTCGCCTCGCGCCGCTCGCCCCTCCTCACTTCTCCACTAGCCCCTCGCCCTTTCTTTTCTCTCTCTCTCTCTCACTCTCTCTCTCTCCTTTCTCTCAGGCTCGCCTCCTCGCTCCTTCACTCTCCTTTTTTCCCCTCTCCGCTTTTTGCAAAAAAAAAAGGGGGGGGGAGAAAAAGCCAAAGAAAAGGCGCAAATCATGCACAATATTGTCTTTTGCGGTTTATCTTCCTGGGGAGAAACTTTCACCTCCTCAGCCGGGCGGTGAGCGCGAGACTGATAGCAGCAATCATTCCTGCAGATAAATGAATTGAAAGGACGACACCGTCCCCCCCTTGATGAATGGGAGCAGGGGGAGGTGTCACGTGCTGCCGACACGGGCGCGGATTGGTGCGCCCTCACTCCCCCCGCCCGCAGCCGCCGCGCCAACGGAGGGCGCGCCGAGACGCCGCGCGCTGCTCATTGGCCCGCCCGCCTCATCAATCCCAGGTATTGTAAAGCGCTTGACATCCCCTTTTGACAAACAGAGCTGCCAGGAGTAGCAACTTTTTTTTAGCCAAATTTTTTTTTCCCTCTTCTCACGGAAAAAAATTTTTTTTTTCCACGAATTCTTTTCTTTCTCATAGTCATCTCTTTCTCTTCTCTCTCCTCTCCTCTCCCTCTCTCCCTCTTAACCCCACCCCACCCCGGTCCTACTTTAAACCTGATCTCTACTGAGCGATTACAGACTAGAGACTTCGAGCGTCTCTGAGAGCAGGAGGCGGGGATGGGGCTGGTAAACACAGCAAAGGCACTTCCAGAATGTCCCGATTCAGCAACTTTCTTTTCTTTCTTTCCCCCTTTTCCCCCTTCAAGGGCAGCAAAGGAGGCTTTTGTTATTTGCTTCTTTTGAAGTTTGCTTCCTTCTTGCCTAGTCCCCCTCCTGTTTATAATTTAAGATCTTGGGAGCACACTTGCACTCCTCTCTTTACTAGAAGTGTGATTTCTCAGTGTAACCAGTAGCCTTGATTTTTTTAACTTAATCAAATCAATCAGGTTTCCCATATATGCCCCCCCCCCAAACACAGGTGGATAGGGTCCCTTAACTTTGCAGATTATTGAGGTTTGGGGGTTTGGTTTTTTTAAGGGGAAATTGCAAAGGTTGTTGCAATTTTCTTTTTTCACCCTCTCTATGTGATTTTTTCTCTTTTCTCCCTTCCCCTTGTCTCCCTTAGCCGCCCCCGCTAACCCCCTCCCTCTGCACTCCTGTTCCCATCCCGGGCCCCTTTCATTCAGGTAAAACTGTAAATTTCCCTACGCCATTGTTCCTCTGGGCTGCCCAAAGCTCCCTAGAGATTCCCGAATAGTTTTTTTGGTATTTAAATCCCCGATAGATAGGACCAATGTAAATTTTGTGACATTCAAACCTTTTCTAGTTCACAAATCAGTCACCCTTGTCACAGTTATTGAAATTCCGCAACTCGCCACACCAGGACGGTGGAAAAAGCGGGCGCGGTCTTTGTTGCCGACCAGGCTTTTGATCGCCAGAGAAAATTTACTTACCTTCAGATGAGTGAGCAGAAAAAGAAATAACACTCCCTTTGATTTAGTTAGGAAAATGCAGACATTTGGATTCAGTGCAAACATACAACACTCGCTTGTTTTCGCGATGCGGCCCTCGATTAACCTGTCTTTGCCCAGCGCAAAGTCTATTCAACAACTGCGCGTAGTTGCTTTTTGTCCCATCCACAAAGAGCCATTGACTATATATTAAAATGATTGTTGAAAGGTAGAGGAGTATGGCACTTAAAAGCAGGAAAAAAAAATCCCTGTGACTCAATCAATTAAACCGAGCAACATTTATGCATTTCAAAAAATGCACGCGGATGCGGGGGGTTGGGGGATGAAGGTTGCATTTCTCCTCAGCTCTGTTTAAAAACCAGCAGCTCGGCCCAGGGTTTAGCCGAAGCGTCTGCATATTCATTAGGTCTAATTATTTTCTAGTAAGGAAAACACAAAAAGCCAAGAGTCGGAATCCTTCAATTTGCCCTTTGTTTCTAACTTCATTTGGCTTCTTTGCAGCTGAATCAGAGCCCTAAACTCTTTTTTCCAGACAAAGAAACCTCAACTCATCCTTTCACAGGCGGCCGGGTTAGGAAACTCACCAGAGTGCACTGGCTAGAGGAAAATGAAAATGATTTTTTTTCTTTCTTTTCTTTCTTTCTTTTTCTTTCTTTCTCTCTCTCTCTCTGTTTTTTTTTTTTTTTTTTTTCCTTTTCCCTGCCCCGTCGCCAGCGCTGGCTTCCCGGGCTGAAGGAAGGCAGGAACAGCCTTGGCCACTCCTCGCCTTTCTGGTTTTCTGGTCTTCTCACCGACTAAATTCTGATTTGGGCTTGGCGATCTGGGCTGCTGCCCTTTCACTGTGCTCTCTCCGCTCAAATGTCGGGTGGTGTATCGGAGAAGGTTTCCTGGTGTCTGAAGGGATTTAACTGAGCATTTGTGCTGGAAAATAAAATTTCTAGGAAGAGAAAAAAAAATTAATATCTGGTCTCAGCAACAAGTCTGAGCCCAGCAACCAGAAATTTCTACTAACTTTGAGTGGAAAGGTGTGAGGAGTGGAGGGCAAGGGTTGGGGCTTGAGGGAGTTTAAAAAGAAAAAGGTGTGTGTGTATATATGTGTGTGTGTGTGTGTGTGTGTGTATAGTGTGTGTGTGTGTTTTAAAACAATAACTGCTCGGTTGTTTCTACTGTCTACAAGGGGAAAGTTAGATGCTGCAATTATAATTTTTTAAAAAGAAAGAAGGAAAAGAAAAAAGAAAAAAAAAACCCTTATCTGCAAGGAGAAGTTCTCTCTAGAGGCTGTACTGTTCTCACTAGGGAGAACAAATATTGAGCCCACCTCGCCTGCCTTTCAAAAAAAAACCAAGGGAGGGGACCTGAGGGGGAAGGGTAGCTGTTGGGAGGGGGGAGGGAAAATAATTCTTCAAAACAGAAAAGTCAGTCTTCTCTTCTCCAGTCCGTGGAAAATCCAACGGGGACGTTGACAAGAGGGTATTTTTAGGAAATCCGTCCAAATATACAGGGTAAGAGTGAATGTGAGAAAGAAAAAAAAAAGTTGTGGGTTGTAGAAGTTATCAAGTGGGATTTGCGGCGCTCTCTGCAGGAAACGCGAGCGGCTCCAGTTCAAAGCCACATGCACCAACGTGACATATAAGCCATTAAAATATCATCCTGACGGCTCATTTCTGCTTCATCATACATTCCCTAACTGCTTCCCGAAAGCTGGAAAAGGAGAAATGAAGGATGACCGCCTCGATGGAACCACAAAAGAGAAGCTTAGAGGGGTTTGTGGTCCCCCCTCAGCCACCCCGAAGTGATGTGGAGAAATGAGGTGATCCGGGCAACAGGTGGAGCAGGGTAAGTGCTGGAGACCAGGGGCAGACAGGCGAGACCTGTACCCCAGCGGCCGCGTAGTTAATGTCCTTACGGGGGGCCTTTGGCACCCAAAACCCACTGGGGGAAAAGGCCCAACCAGACTTTCTCCCAATCTCCTCCTTCATTGGCCCCCCAACCTCGGATACAGGCCCCACCCCACTGACTCTAAGGCGGGAGGGGGCCCTTCCGCGGAGGGGCAGTGTTGAGGATGAGTCCATCCGTTCCTCACAGAAAGGGGGGGGGCAAGTAGGACAAATGGGGCTCCCACTGGCACCCGCACCGAGAGCAGCTTGTTGCCCGCCCGCCTCCCCTCCCCTACTTGTGAATTGCCTGGGTGCCCCACCGTGGTCACAAGAAAGGCAGGAATAGCCCAAAGCTTTCCGAACACGGAGTGAGCAGGGCGGGTGCCCGGAGAGGGGGGTCCTTGCAGGCAGCTTTTCTGCCCTGCCCCAGAGGGTTGGCGGGGAGGATCTTGGCTTCCCCTCCCTAGGGTCAAAGAGCCAAGTTAGATCTGCTGGCAGGAACACGATGGAACTTCGTCGCCCCATTCTGACTGAGGATGCCGGCTGGGTGCGCCTCCGGGCCGGCTTCTTGCCCTCACTCATCCTGGTTCTGCTTCAGGATGCTGACCGCTGGGATCCGCTCTCTGCGCACGCGGGCCATGGGTTCGGACTTAGCTTTCTCTCTCCCGAAACGAGGGCTGCGACTTTCTCTCTGAGTAGCAGGCCGCAGCTTGTAGAATTCTGGCCACTACCTTAAGTCCAGGGCACGGGAAATTTGGGGCAATTGGAAAGGTAACAGATTTGGGTTGTGAAGAAGAGTTAGAACTAGTTCACAGGCTGTATCTGAAAGTTTAGGGTTGAGTAATGGCCCAGAGGGACATTTGTGAGTCACAGAAGTCTTAGAAATGGAGAGGGGGCATTGGAGGGCCGCATCTCGCAGTCACTGTCTGCAGGATACCTTTTTCCGAAGTCGTATTTCTCCCACCTTTCCAACAGTATTGGCCTGACAGCAATCCCCGCCAATGCCTCATTTTCCCTTCTCTCTTTAGATACCTGTAGTATGGGGAAGGGGATTCAAAGAGACCATTAGTTGCCTAGACTTGGTCACCTACAGGTGACTCAGGAATGTAGCGGTGCTGGGGGAACCCAAGCTCTTC